AATATTGAATTATATATATATAACTATAGTTGCGGCCCGCCTGATGTAGCATAAATTCTCGAGATTTTGTTTCCCGATTTCCCAAAAGTCGACCCATTAAAATTGATGGAATTCCAGGGAATTCTTGTCATGAGAATTCTCGGAATAGAAACCCTAGTCAAGAATTTAAAGTATTAATTTAAACAAAAACTAACGTTAAAAGCCCAATTTATTAAACAACTTTAAGCAATTTAAAATTGCATATCACATGTCTAAAAATGTAGTCAATTATTAATTAAAAAGTAACGGCCCTGACTGTCAGTAAAACTCAAAGTGGCGATAATATAAAATTTAAACCGACATTTTTTTACGCCGAGTTTTCGTTACTAACCATGGTTAGTAGTGCTCTTAACCTTCTTGGTTGTACGTTGATTTTAATTTTTTTTTAATCATCATTTTAAAATAAATAAGTTTTACTATTTTTGTAATGCATTGTTGCAAGGTAAAACATATTTGTTTTACTTTAACGAATGAATTTTAAATAAAATAATAACTTAAGCAATACTTACTGATGGGGAATTTAAAGGAATTTCATATTTTTTATCGATTACAATGTTAACATTGTTACATCAGTTTGGAATGTTGTCTGTACCTAAGCCAATTAAAATTCTACCAAATTAAACCCGCATCAGGGTCAGCTTAAATCTCTGCATCATAACTTTATTAGGGATTTCATAATGTCATTCAAATTATAATTGGTTAAAATCATTTGTTAGCAATTTTAATTTAAATATTTGCTGTTAAATATTTTAAAATATAAAATAATATTAAGATATAATTTTAATAATAATTTACCGTACACTCTGGTCCTCAACTCGCGTCCCACCGGGAAAGGGCTGATGGTAAAGACAATAGAGATGCCAAAAACTGCAGCTGAAGAAGTAAAAAACCTCTTCGTTTGGTAAATAAAGAGGTTTAAAATTGACCAATCCCAGTGGTAGTTCAAATATACAAAAATGATGTAAACAAGCCCTAACATTAACAAACTTTGTTTAAAAAAAGTAGCAGTCTTAAGCTGTTGGTTTTAAGTTTTTTTTAAGTAAAACGACCGTTGGCACTTCTAAAAAGAACTGTTTTAATCATAACAAAACTGCGTAAAATAACATTGTGAACAACGAAAAAATTAACAACACTAATAAAACAATTTTTTTCAGGAGAAAAAACGAAACATTTAATAAATAAAATAAAATGCAAATTTAATAAAAATATAGAAAATATCTAATCTAAGCGTAGCTGCTTAACGCCGCGGCGGCCCAAATGCATGTCATAATATAACATTAATTAATTATGATAAACATCATAAAGGCTGTTATTCTTAAGTCTTAACACTTCTGTTACACTAATATACTATATAGCCTGTCACACTAATTTAATATTATTGTATATGTATATATTATGGTAAATTATATTTAGTACCTATACATACATATACCTATAATAATAATATTTATTAATCACAGAGTTTTACAGCATTTAATTCCATAAAACATATTGGATTGGTAAAAAAAATTACAAAATAAAGAAATTATGTTTAAACACTATGTACCTTAGGGTGATTCATTTCCGCAAAGTTTTTTTTTTTCGGTGCTCTAGCAAAATATCTACCTATAGAAAAAAAAAATTTCACCAAGGTAGAGCTCTTAATATCAATTTTAAGTACTTGCAGTTTAAATTTAAAGTTTTCCCATTTAAATTGCATGTAAAAAAAATGTTTTTTTTTCAAATTTCTAATGCTCGCCCGCTTTTTACAATATTGTGAATCGGTTTTATGGACCTTAAAGGGAATTTCACGCTCTTTAAAATTGTCCTTGTGTTTTTTTTTGTAACTCGTAGTGGTTCGCCAGTAGGAGTCATCAAAGTTCAATTTTTTGAATGAACATTAGTACTATAGTACTGAAAGTTATGTTGTACCAAATTTCTATATAATCTGATGATTTTAGAATGGTGTGTTATTTAATTTTGTGTATGTTATTTTTGTTTTCATTTATGTAGGTATGTGTTAATTATGTTTTATTTAGAAAATTGTTTAATAAAGAAACATTTCTTATAAAAAAATTTTTTTTTAAGTTCCCAAGTAATTTTGATACTGGGTCTACATAAAAGTTTGTAAAAAATACAAGAATTATGGTATTCTCATTGGACAGTAACTGTAAAGAAAAGTATCAATTTTTTTTAACACTTTAAGACTAAACCACTTTCCAAATTGAAAACGTATAGAAAATGTACCTACACATTATTATATGTATGATTAAAAAATATTGTTTTCACAATGATTTTTGACATCATGTTCCAAACCTATTATTAGTTCCTTAGTCATAGGCAACCCATTTGTCATAAACATCTATCAATTTCCGAATGTTTATGGTCCTTAAATTGGCATAGATATTTATTTTATTAACACCACTTAAATATTATTGAATTAATATCCCTTATTCCCTATCGCCTATTTTAAAAGAATAAACTACTTTAATGCCTCTTTAAAAATTGCACAATATGCATAACATCCTTTTATATTCATGTTCCTTTATAAATGTCATGTTAAGCAAAAAGCAACAAGATAAGAAAAACGCATTATGAAAATATGGTATGTAGGTATCTTCGTGTTAAAGTGCTAAAGGAAATAAAATATCACAAAAGAATAAGCTTTGATGTATGTTACTTTTATCTTAATAATATGTACATTTTAGTGATTTTTTTTTAACTTAAAATGATTAAAATTATTTTCTGAATAAAACAAAGAACAAAGTTTTTAATTGGGCATTTATTCAAATTAGGAATCCTTTTCGGAAGATAACATTTTGGTCAGGCGACTTAAAGAATGTAATTCTTTTGGGATTAAATTTATCTTGCTAAATTCCTAATTTACAAAAAGAATAAATGAATAAATCGAAAGCAAAATAATTACAATTGTAACAATTTTTAAATAAACACATTATGGTGTAGGTACACTTAGACCATTCTTGATGGATTGTCAAAGGGTACCTACACATTTTTTTAGATAAGATTTAATATAATTTATTTGAATGGTGTTATGCAACAGGGAACCATTCCCCATAATAAAAAAGCGGGATAAATGTATTAACGTAATGGGGCCATGTAGGGCCACCTTTTGAAAATATTTTAAAGAACATGCGGAAAAATACTGAATTAAAATATTCAAAATAATATAGAACTCTGAAATCAAAGTTTTTAAATCTAAACAAAGCATTAAGCTGCATGGTTATGCCAACTTTCCCTTATATATTGAAATTGTGAAAGGTTATACAGCCCCAAGCGGCTGGGTTAATGTTACTTTTGACTAAACGCAATATATTTATACTGCAACAAGGATCCATGCTACATGGATCTGGTTTAAGTTGAAATGTTGTATAAAAATGAACTAATGATTTTATATTCATATGTCATGACAAAATCAATATTTCCAAAAAAATAAGAGAAGATCAGGAGCATCTCAAAGCTAAAATTATAAGATTTAAAATCTATTTATCACCTTACTCCAAATGATTTATTTATTCAACAAATTTACTTATTTTATTAAAAATAATGAAAAAATATTATAAGAAATAAAAATTTAGTACTAAATTAGCGATTTGGAAATAAAATTAAAACGTTGAATCTATAATTAAGACCATAGTAATGAAGGAACCACGTAATTTTTCGGACGCTATTATCTTAGTTTTGCAACAGTAAGGGTTGGTTTCCTATTGCATAACACCATTCATTTTATCTTCAGGCATGGATTAAGGTGTGACTTCTTCACTCAACGCTTCAGGCGTTTTATAATTTAAGCTTTATTATAGTCAACGCTCACTACAAAAGTATTCGATTATCTCATAGGATGAAAAAATAATTTAGACCAATTAGGTAAAGATTTTTACATCCTAGTATGTACAAGACATGTCAGGGCCAATCAAAAAATTTGATAACTGCTGACACCTCTGAAGATATCTAACCTTACTCAGTAAAGTAGATTATCATAAAGCACTGTTTTTCAGAAATAATTTACTTCTAATTCACAAACTTTTTTATTGGAAATAAATATCAATTGTTTTCTTTTTTACTGTATATAAGGAATATTATGTATAATTAACTATATTTCAATCAAAAAACATAAAGGTTTTTAATTTTGAAATGCGTTTTTAGATGTTCATAGAGCGTCAATTGCGGAAATAACTCAGTATTTTTTTTTTGCAAAAAATATTAATTTTTTATTTTTTACATTGTTAAATAAGACTTATTACGTATAATTAACTATATTTTAGCCAAAAAACATAACGGTTTTTATTTTTAAATGCGTTTTAGATGGTCCTAGAGCATCAATGGAGGAAATAATCAAAAAACTTTTTTATTGCAAAGAAGTATTTATTTAAATTTAAATAAGACTTAATAGGTATTAACTATAGATGCTTTTTTGAGCGTAATTAACTTTTACAAAATTAGGCAAAACAATTTTTTGAAACTATTAATATTTTCATATACGGGGATCCGCCGATTTGTTTTATTTTTTTTGAAAAGTGTCCAAGTTTGTAAAAGATAGTGATGTTCAAAATAAACATTTTATGTTTAACAGCGTAACTTTTTCCACACATAGTTACTTCTGTATTTTTAACTGGTAAATTTGTTGAGTTATATAGATGTCCAAAACTTTTTCTGGCTATTCTTTTACACATTCAAAATATATTGGGCGGCACCATCTTGTAGATGACACCAATTTGTTTTGCCAAATTGTTCCAGAGTTGGAACTAAGTATTAAGGGTATCATGGATACCATGTATATGCTGGCATCTGACAATTCTTGACTTGACTTTTTTCCAGCGTATATTTTTAATTATATTCAGATTGGCCGGAAGCACCATCTCATTCCCACTTACTAACCAAAAGTAATGCATTTTCATTTTCTTCAATTTCCATAGCTCCCAAAATTCTTTTAAAGTATGGTCCTAAAGACTTTGCAAATTTACTTATGCACTTGTTTCGGTAACAACTATTTCATCTGGATAGCATTCTTTTTTGGCTTCAAGAACTTTGTAATAGGGTGGTAAAATGTCATACCCAAAATCATCTCTATATGGTTCATATTGATATTTAGACAATTGGGCATCTGCTCTCAATGCCAAAGCCTGTTCATTGGGCATATCAATTTTCTTCGCAAAATTTTCGGGGGATTTTGCAGCTACAGATATAAATTCTACTTCAATGGATTCTTGTAAATGTTTAACCTCATACCTTTAAGCACGCTCAGTACAATCCAAAAAATGCTTTTTTGGTCTCTCAACACCTGATGGACCTGGTTGTGAATCACAACTTGTGATACATCAAATATTATTTCCTTTTTCAACCATTCTTCATTTTTAATTTTAAAGTTATTTAAACACCGATGTGATATAAACCACTTTGCTTACTAATATTAAAATGTTAATTAATTTTTTTCCATAACAAGTGTAAATTGATTAAACTGAACTGAACTTTAGTTTCGAGTGTTGAAAACAGAAATTTTAATTTATTGACCGTTCTGAATATTTCATTGTTGTTTTTTTTAAACTCGTATAAATACATGTTTTAATTTATTACTCTTCACAGTGTTACAATTTTAACACAAGTTAGTACAAACATGCAGCCACAAATTTTGTTAATTTCATTAAAATCGTTGTTCGTGTAACAGAACCGAAAAATTGCCGAATGATGGTCAAAAAATATTGAGTAAACTTAGAGCTAATTGAGCAAAATAATGGTCACAGCGTGCTTTAATTATAATACAAATAAGGTATACCCTGACACAGTGTAATGGACATTTGTGACGCGCCTCGAGAAAAGGGACCTAGCATTCAAAAATCAAATTCTACAGGAGAGGCATTGGCGTTTGTGTAATATCGCTCGATAAATCATTTTTGGACGCTAGATCCCTTTTCTCGGATTTGTAGGTGAGTTGGTGTAAATATTTTGAGCAAAGAAATCTAAAAATAAAAATGATCATTAATTCGTTAACTATTATTTACCTAAATTTTAACTTCCAGTCCCTGAAAAATATTTTCAGAGAATAAATTTTGGTACGTACGAGTACGAGTACATATAAATTATATATCGATGTTGGCAATGCAATTTCATGTATCTCCACTTTTTTTAAAACAGATTTAAACCTGGTTTGCTTAAAATTTTCTCTACATGGTGTTTGGTCGGTTAGTTGGAGTGATATAAAATAGAAAACCACGTTTCTACAAAATATTACTACGGGCGAGTAAAGTTTGTATAGTTTGTTTTTTGGAATTGCATTGACATTATTTTATACGGTTAAAGGTCATGTTTAATGCACGAAAACACCCTTAAAACTGTTTAGCTGCCGCCATATTTGGAGTCTGCCATATACGTAATGTCATCTCTCAAAATAAACCTTTAAAGTTTATACAGTTATTTGGTTTTGATGTATTTTCTAGTTGGATCCTCGTCGCCCGAATGTTTTCTTTTAATTTAGCCTAGAAACTGAGACAGCTCTGCTGCATCATGCTACCCGTAATACATTCGCATAGTGTTATTTTTAGATTCCGTCTAATTCTAAATATTACAATTATTATTGAATGCATTACTAGGAATTTAGGCGTCCATGAATTATTCATCGTTTGATTAATGTACACGGTATAAGCTATTGTATTACATAATAATCCACTCTGTTGATACTGTGCCTTCCTCTATAAACATTTTAACAATATATTGTTCATATATGAAGATTAGGGATGTTTATGCATAAGTACTTCATACTAATTCTGAAAACGTTAACATTATTAATTTGTGTACGCTAACAATAAACATGGTATTAAATTATACTCATTTATTTCCAATTGATGTGGTCAATAAAAAAGAAAGTACTGCACAACAAGTCACTTAATAATCTGAATTAAACAAGTTTTGATTATGATCGAACATAATTCTTTAGGATGGTAATTTAATTGGTATAGCGACTATTGTTTTCGGGTCAGGGATAAACATTCTAACTAGTTAGTTCTTTTGTAAGTGTAAGTTAAAAACCAATTTTGAAAAATTCCATAATATAAGATTGCTAAATATACTTAAGTTTTTGAGATAATCAAAAGTATTTAAAAAAATCGCCGACGGTGGACTAGTGGTTAGTGCTGCTGACTACAAGTAACACTGTAAACAAAGACCATCAAAGACAAAATTCTTACAGCCCTGCCATACTCAAACATAAAACATAAATCAAACGGCCCCTTAATCACTTTGTGAAGGGAATGGCAACCAAAATAACTTTCAAAAAATATTCGATATTTTCACATTAGGCACAACATCTGCCGAGCGTCGCTGCACAGTCATGTTCTGTGTCAAAACAGCGCGCTTTGTCTTGCGCGATTACATGGGTACACCCCGTATGTGTTGTTGCGCTTATTACCAAAATGTTATGTATTATTTTATTTTTGTATTATTTTATGTAATATTAGTAGTAGTGACATACATGATTGTTAATGTTGAATATTGTAAACTGTGATATTAATTTTAAATAAACATTTTTGATTTGATTTGATTTGATTTGACTACAAGCCGGAGGTCGTGGGTTCGAATCCCACCAGGGGTATGGCTGTTTATTTGTCTTTGTCCTATTGGTAATAAGCCTTCGGAGGGGACTTTAAGCCCGCGGTCCGTTCCTACCCCTAACCCGCACAAGCCATTCAGTTGGCTTCTGGGACTTCTTAGGAAGTAAGGGTGGAACTAAAAGAGCACTTCTGTATATAAACTTTGTATATAAATGTAAATTAAATGCAAGCTTAAATAAAAGCTTTATTTAATAACAAAGCTTTATATCAGGATCAGAAAAGAAATACGTCACCCATTAATCCGCCATCAGGTCAGATTTTAAGGTTTCCTATGGCATAGCCAAAATTGGGATAGATCGGGAAAAATCCGTTTAATATATTATGGTTTAACTTAAAACATATTTATAAATGTCCATATTTGAATTAAATTTTAAACAAAACATGTTTGGTGCCATAAAGTCTGCAATTTTACAAAGAGCTTTAATGGTATGGTTAAATTATTTTATTAAATAAAACAATATTGTTTTAGTTTTTATTTTATACAAAACATTATATGTATACACCTATAGGTAATAAGGAGAGCGAGATCAAGGATATTTGTATTAATAGCAAAAGGATAAAAATTTGTGTGGTAAATTTTCAGGAGTAACAAAATTTTTGAAATGATAGTGAAAATGACGAGTTTCCAAGAAAGGGTAACTTAAGATTTTTTTTAACCCATAACATTTAAAAAAAAGGTTGGGAAAAACATTTTCCCAAAGCGCTAATCACTAATTGTCCTGGAGCAGATAATTGAGAAAAACTAAACATTAAGCAGTTTTAGTAAACTTTTTGATTTTAATATTTTTTAAATAACAATTATTATTTTAACATCATAACAAGCTCTACTTGCCACTTACAGTAATTAAATATATCCAATGGCTAATCAAAAAAAGTTTTTTGTAACTATAGTCCGAATTTTATGCAAAGCCTTAGTTATAATGAACATTTAGCTTTAAATCTTTAACGTTATTTGCTCTTACCCATTCCAAACATAACTATTGCAGAATTCTTCAGTCTTTAAAAAGTTTGTGAAAAGTTGCCAGCTCGTTTTTTTCATCAGTTTAAGTAATATTTTTGTTAAAAACCTTCTCCAGCTCCAATATTTTAAATTGAATTAGGTGACAACATTGTAGTATTTTGTTGCCAAAACATTTTTATCGTGATACTGCCAGCTTTCAATCTGACCAGAGTATGATTAAATAAAACAAATCAAACAAATTTTGTAAATCTGTGCAATACTGATGGATGAGCTAATTTTGATGGGATGAACCAAAGTGCGCCTATTAAAATGGTTAATATTTTTTACATTTAAAGCACAAAAGCATATCAATGTAAATAAAAGTCCATAAGAAAAAGATTCTACAAACTAAAAAACTGAATAAAATATGGCGAGCAATTTTTATCGTATTACAAAATATAGTTTATAATGGCTTGCAATAACATTATTATCTCATCGCTGTATTTAATGGCAAACAGGGCCGTAGCGAGGCTGGTGCAGGCGGTGCGGTGCACCAGGGCCCCCGACCTCAAAGGGGCCCCCAAAACTAAAAAGTTTTACTAAAAAATCGTAATTTTCGATATACTATCCTATCCTAAAGTTTTGCACCGTGCCCCTGAGTCCGTCGCTACGCCCTGATGGCAAAATTAAAACAAAATACATGTATGTATAAAACTCATTTTTAAGAATCACAGCTAGAGTTATTGCTGCAGAAAAAGTAAATTTAAATTCAAAAATTTAAAAAGTACATTCCTTTGCAATAATAATTTTTTAAACAACTTGCAAGTTGGGGTCCACTTTTTGTATATTCTAAATAAAAATGGTTTTTGAATAAAAAAGAGTAGGCTAAACTTCCTGGTCTATTACATTTAAAGAAAAACTTATTTAACTCTTAATTAATTGCATATGACATTATTTTTAGATTTTTCACTTCAGGTACCTATGAATATTTAAATCGTAGCATCTGCGCCAAACATTAATCATGTCTTTCTGAGAACAAAATCATAATGATATGTTTTTCGCAACATTATTAATATAACTTGTATAAATTATATAAATCAAAAACAGACGGGCGAAAAGTTTTTATTATAAAATGAATAATTTATACTAGAGAAGTTACATGAAATGCTAACAATTAACGCCAATATTTAAGTTTTATTTGTATTTAAGTTTTTTAATTTACTTTTTTATATAATTGAGACACATACTTCCATGGTTGCAACCATAAGATTTTGGTAAAATATTGTTGAATGAATATTCGATTAACTGGGGAACGAATTGTTAGTAGAAAGATTAAATACTATTAATAAATCTTCCATGGAACCTGCAAGTTAAAACATGGTTGCCAATTTTTTATGGTTTTTATATTATCTTAATAAAGTAATTGTCAATTTTTGTAAAAAAATATGTATGATTATTTAAAAAGTATACATAATATGTAAAATATAAAGCAGTAAAACATATACCTAAAACACATTTCTGGTTGTAATGCATTGTATTTGAATTATAACATATTATTTCCTAGTAATGTTAAAAAATTAAGTTTTAAGCTTCATATTGGTATGTGTAGGTAGTAAATTTTATATTTTACAAAATTTATTAAAAATAAATAAGATCGACAATATTTAAATATGTTTTTTACTAGTTTGGTGTTTTTGACAATTTTCATATTTCCATTTACAATATTACGTAATAGTGTCGAACAATAGGTTTTCTCGGGTTTTCTACTTAACGTGTAGTGCCAAAAAATATGGTCTTTTATCTCGTCAATGTGCTTTTGTTTCAAGTGTGCTCCTGTTTTGTGTCTTTTGGACATCATCAGTGTCGGTTAGCCATGTGGTGCGGAAGCACACTTGAAACACACTGCCCTCCGCCACTATAAAGCAGCAGGATTATCTTTACCTTTTATCCTGGCAGGATACAGCGAGAGCGATGACGAAAACATTTACTTACCACACCATACTTACCACACAAGTGGTAAGTATATGGACCAAAAGGTAATCAGCCCCATCTACCGTCCAGAGGACGTGGCTAAAACTATGTGTGTTGCAGAGTTCTGCATGCGTCATAGCGGAAGTAAAAAACATTATTGTTAAGACAAAAGTCGAGACTTCGCGAGTATCCAGTTTCGAATCTTAAAGTAAAACAACATTGAAATCTTACATTTGTACATTTTTTTAGAAAATTAACGCAGTACTATCAGCATTTAAAAAATTCAGGTACCTACCCTTTTTTTCAATTGACAATGTTGGTTGGTACGATTGTGAAACACGCGAATTAAGTCAAGTCACGTGACGCCTACGACCTCAGGGTTCTCAAAACTATTGGTTCGAGAAGGGCCATGGTACAAACAAATCGAATTAAAAACTGTACTTTTGACAGAAACCTAACGGTTTTATCTTAAATGGTTTCGGTTAAAAATAGTCTTATAACCAAAAATCTTTCTAATTTTGTTTTCAAAATAGTTCTCTGAAAGCACTTTCTATATTATTTTCAATTTTGATGTGTATTGGTAGGATATAAAAGTACATATATACATATTTTAGTAACAAAAGTTGTTCTATTGCTTCACCAGTGGCGTCTCTGCCAGGGGCGTAGCTACCGCGGTATCAGCCGTATCAATAATGGCTAGGGGGGGGCCCGATTGGCTTCGACATGCGTAACTAAAAAACTATTACCCATATGTAAAAAAAATTGAAGCATGAAATTAAATAAATAAATAATTAAAATTATTATATAATTGTTATATGTATTTATTAAATTAAAATTTTCTTGAATAATTTCCGGTTCAACGAGGCCGTGAACTCATACAAATTGTTTCTGCCCGCACCTTTCCGCTATGCGTTGTCTGCGGCGCAGTCTGCGCATATTGTCTGTGCTCTGCGCCGCATACTGAGTCTGCTTTTGCGTGTTATTATCATAGGTTAGATTAATAGAAAATTAGAAATAATTATTAGCGTTTTAATTATTTCAAATGACTTGCCTTTATTTTAACCTTTTAAAAGATGTTGAAGAACGGTTAATGTCTAAAACCAGACCAAATTTTAAAATTTACATATACATAAAAGTTATGTAAGTTATACATATATTATTTATTAAATTATAAAAAATTGGTAAATGCAAAAAATGATACCCTAAAAAATGTTTGGGGCGAGGCACCCAGAATTTTTTTGCCAGCAGCTCTTCTCGTATAAAGGCAAGATTTTTGATACGGGGCCCCCTCGAGGCTAGCTACGCCACTGGTCTCTGCACACATGTCCTCTGATATTTTTGTACATGATTAGTCTGGTCAATTATTACGTTAAATAAAACACCTGTTTATAAAACTAATACTGGTCCAATCTCTAAAAATGTATAAGGAAAAAGTGCTTATGGTTTTGTTTATAAGCCTATTTTGTGAAAACATTAATTTTAAGAACATATTATTGAAGTGATCACCTCTTTGTAGAGTGCTATTAATATCTCATGGCGGATGACCTTGGGTGCGCAAAAGTCTCAAATCCGTCAAATCGCGCTATTATAGCCTAGAAATTTTTCTGACATATTTAGAAAAATTTCTAGGCTACAAATTCTATTATATTTGTTTTAATATTATAGCGTCTCTCAAGGTCAACCGCCATGAGATATTAATATCACTCTACATGGTAATTAGTTTATACCAATTTTCAGTCCCCAAACCTGGGACATCAAGTGCCGTGGGTCCCACGGCGTGGGATTGTTGCAATAATTTTTTATTTGGGTTACATAAAATAAGTTTATAAACTTGTGACTTTATGTAACCCCAAAAAAAGTTTTACCTTCTTTGTAAAAATAAAGGTCGTCAAAAGTAATATCATCAAATTTTGATTCAAAAATAATATGTCAACATTCCTCCCTCATTAAAAAAAAATAAGGAACGATGATGCCTCCGTATAATTATCCACACTAAACTGTGATTCTCTGCAAATACAAAGAAGCCTCGTGTATCTGTTGTGGATTGGATTCACTTCAATAACGGCAATGTTGCCAATTAACGAAGCCATTGCGCAAACATGAGCCCCACCAGAGAATACGAAGTGCTTTTCAAAATGATCGTACACAAAAAAATAATCCATAGTAAACTTACTGTTCGCAAATATAGAATAATTTATTTTAAACATGGTGTAAAAGTTTGGACATCCTTATTGGTAATCCATTTATAATTTCTTAATTAATTAATGTTTCACATATACATTTCTACAGAATTGTGGGACATCTAAAATTATTAGCTTTAAAATGCAACACCTATTATAGATACCTACATATAACATGAAATTAATAAAACATTTCTAGGTGTTAGCATCTGGATGTAACCACTCTTGCAAGTTTACTTTAAAACTTTGTGCATATTTACAGCTTGTCTTTGTAGAACAGAGCGCCCTTTCAGAGATATGTAATTAATTTACTTTAAACTTGGCCATACTTTCAAGATAAAGTGTCTACTTAATAAAAAAGTCAAACAGAATGTTTAAGATTAGTACAAGAGTTGTTTTAGGTAATTAATATTTGTGCTGTCTATTTTTGCTTTTATTATAATAAATTTATGTTTCCGTTACATCGCCTAATCCTACTAATGATTTTGAGAGGTAAAAAGTTAATCGGTGAAACATTATCTTGTTTCGAAGTGAGTGTTAATATTTGTGCCACAAACTATTTATTGTTCATATAATAACCAGTTTTAGTAATCCAAAGTTTACATGAACTTTATAATTCCCAGACTTTATTAATTAATTGAACTACATCTAAAAGATTTTACTTGAGAAGGGTTATTAACCCTTAAAGATCACCAAAAACCATTCTGAAACTTTACATTAAATTATAATTGTATAATTTTATAAGCATGTAATATTTATTTAAATTGATTATATAAAACAAATAAAAATAGGTGACTTTACGAAAGGAAGAAAGGAAATATGAAAATGCCAAAATAAACCATTTCTTAAAGCTGTGAAGCATTGTCGAGATCAAGAGAAAATTTGACAAAGAAACAATTTAACTATTCGAATTGTAATGTTAGGAAAATTGCGATGAAAAGCATTTTGCAATTTTAGCACATTTGAATTACGTAATTTATGAATTGTCCGTTACCCTTTTTAAGGCGACAAAAAACACATAATTTGAATTTTACACATGCAAAATATTTCTGTGAAACATTACTTTTAAAGAATTTAAGTTTCTGCATGAATGAGAGCATAAACCATTTTAGGATATTAAAATATTTTATTTAAAAAGTTTTTATTTACAGGTTTTTACATGCTCGTATTGTCCTAAACTTGTTCCAATTATCGTCATATTAGAAATTAAATGATTCACTACTTTATATACTGGGTGTCTTTTTAAAAACGTGCAATGACGACTTATGGAGATAAGTCTGGACCTAAAAAAGATATCAAACATTTTTCAAAAACGTTTTTATGATATGTAGGAGGAATCAGTATGACCCTAAAAATGACCTTCACTAGTCAACCCCTGGGGCTGTAGCCACCCCAACTCAATGTTTTTAATAGCAAGACCCTCTTTGTGATACCTCATTGGAAAGCTCTTGAAAATTTATATTTAACAGTACTAAAAAAATGCTTTTTAAATAGATGTACAAGAATAAATAATAATTATATTACTTCGTTTGCTAATTGCTTTTCCGTTAATACCTATAGGAATCTTCAATCTGAAGGTAGTAAAATTTTAATTACAAGAATCGCCAACAAATAAAATTTTAAGAAAAATTAAACAAAATAGCTTAAATTTAATACGAAATTTATTTTTTTAGAAATCGCCCAAATTAAGGTTTTATAAAAAAAACTAGGCGCAAAGTATTTCTTAAAATCATCCAATTTACGATAAAGCCCCATAGCAAATCAAAAGGAATGATTTTGCTCTACAGTGCGTAAAGAAGTTTTACTTCAAAAACTTGGTGTTTTGCTATTAAGGTAGTATCTCCATTAGAATAGTTTGATTAATAAATAACAGTCGGCCGTGACAGATAATTCAGCGGTTTAAAATAAAACGTATAAAATATATTTTAATTAACAAATTAATATTCTATTACAAATTAAAGTATCAATAAAAACTAAAACCAACATAAAAAGTAAATAAATAACAATATAAATTTTTAATTTTGTCAAAATGGCAAAATTAATGTTTAAAACTGATATTTTTATATTTCTTAGGTTGGGAGCACGAAATTTGAAATGACAATGTTTAAAAGTGCTACCACCACCTTTAAAACCCTCATTATCGTACATATTTTTATAATACTAAGTGACCTTTTAAATACCTATTGACAAGTTGTGGCTTTGTGGCGTTTTAGTCACGGGCTGAAGTTTTATTTAGTTGGCAGTTGTCAAATGTCATACAATCTTTAAAATAAAGTGCCTTTCTTGTAAAATAATATTAAATGCACGTTGTTCTGGCAGAGTTGCGAGATTTGTACTTAAAAAGTATTGCCATTAGAATATTTAAGTTACTTGAGAATGGAGAAAATAAAAATTATCAATACATTGTATTTTTTACTTTAAATTGATTTAAAGTAAAAATACAAAAATAATTTGTACTTAAAAAGTATTGCCATTAGAATATTTAAGTTACTTGAGAATGGAGAAAATAAAAATTAGCAATACATTGTATTTTTTACTCTAAATTGATTTAAAGTAAAAATACAAAAATAATTGTACTTTAATTTGAATAAATAATATTTTTTAGTACTTCGTAATGCAAAAAGTTTAAAGTCAAAGTAAAAAATTGATTGTACTTAAAATATAAATGAAAATACAAGTACGAAGTATTTTTTAACGGGACCGACTAAAAATAGAAAACAAATCTAATTAATAATTATAAATACTGTATATAAAATTAGTGTAATTTTTCAATATAGATATAAAAATTGAGTTAGCTAAGGAAATTTAGTGTCTTAAGCCGGTTTTCCACCGAAGCGGGCGGACTCGGGACGTTAGTTAAGGAAAAAATATCTGCTTCCTGTCCTAAGATTGCATCATTGGATGACGTCACTCTGTTAACGGGAGCGTAATAGGGAACCGTCTGACGGGACTCTAGACACGGCGTTAATTTTATCATTATTATGTTAACATAACCTTATAATAATTTTACATATTTTTGTAGTTTGCCTGAAGATGATCTAATATAGATCGAAACTAGTCGCAATAAAAACATAAACAAGCACGAAAGTATCCTTATTCACCATTCTAATCAAATCAAAAATATATATATATATATATATATATATATATATATATATATATATATATATATATATAATGTATTCTGTTCTTTATTATTTTTTAATTATAAAATAAAAAAATATTTAGAATCAGTAAATATTTTAAGTTAAAATAAAAAGTAATTGATATTTTCTCTGATTATAATTACAAAATAAAAAAAAAATTGTAATTATCAAATTATCAAATAAAATAAAAAAATATTTAGAATCAGTAAACATTTTAAGTTAAAATAAAAAGTACTTGATATTTTCTCTGATTATAATTACAAAATAAAAAAAAATGTAATTATCAAATTGGTAAAGTAAAAATAAAAAGTACTCAATATTTTTCTCTCATTACAATTATAAAATCAAGTAATAATTAGTAATAATCCATTAAAAAAAATACTCAGTTCTCCCAACTCTGTGTACTGGTTAACCATTAAAAATTTCAGGAGGAGACTCCACCATGGTGAGCCCATAAAACATGATCTTTACTTTCAGTGTGAAAAACTGCTTCTTTATCGGATTTATCCGGTTGTTGGTCAATTTTTGAGGGATAAATTTCGATTTACATATAAAATTTTGTCATTTTGACCGGTGCGCAGGTAATACAAATTCCCAAGTTACTAACTTGAAGTTAGAATTGTTACTCTATTGTTTTATAGATGTCGCTCTATAGAATTATTTAATTTAAATCATTTTTAGATAATAATATTTGTCGTAGAAAAAGTATAGTATACTATATTGCATATATGCAACCCGTTTATAAACTTTGTGAGCAAACTTAATACTATTGGCTTTGACAATTCATTAACTCAGTTTTTTACTTCTTATCTCACTAAAAGAACTCAATTTGTCTCTTATAATGGGTTGTCATTGCCATTTATTTGTAAATCTGGAGTCCCGCAAGGCTCAAATTTAGCCCCCTTTGCTTTTTCTTATTTTTATTAAGTGTAAAGTTATGTCATATTACAAAGGCCATAATCCATTAACATTTAATTATATGTTTAATAACTCTTTACTAGAACGTTCTGATACTGTCAAAGATAATAATGTAATATAACTAGTTCTTCCTTAAAAATGCTGGGATTTATTATAAGGAATTCTGATACATTCAATGATAAAAACGCATTAAAAAATTTGTATTATTCGTTTGTACGTTCAAGGCTCGAATATTGCAGCTTGATTTGGTACCCAATTTACACAACCACAGACCACCTACAAAGTTTCATTGGAAAATATTCAAAGACGATTCCTGAAATTTTTAAACTTTAGAATTAATGGTTTTTATCCTATCAGAGCTCTAGCTCTAACCTAGGTTATCCTCAGGCTGAATTACTTCGGACCTTTTCAATGGACTCACTTGAATTGCGTAGTTAAGTTTAGCATAAAATTTGTGTATGACTTGTTTCATAATATCGACTGTATGTTGTTATTATCTATGTTTAATCTGTATATTCCCAGTTTAAACTCTAGGACTAAATTAACTTTTAGGGCAGATAATGCCCGTACTAATGATTTGTTGAAATCTCCAGTCCAAGTCATAATGAAAAATATTAACGAAATATTTTCAAAAATTGACATTAATTGTTCTTCGCTAACTTTATTATTAAAAGAAGCTGATTACTTTTACAAAAGTATCATTATTGTGTAAATGTTTTATTTTATGTAAACCTATTGTATATTGTATAATTTTGTCCCTTAATTGGATGTAAATCTGTTGGGCAATAAAGTATTATTATTATTATTATTATTATTATTTTCTAGACACTCATTTGCGGCGTTTATCAAACTTGATACATAATATACCATTTTTAGATTTATATAAAAAATAAGCCACCAACATGATCCTCTTTGGGTGCTCAAGTTTAAAAACGAATTTTTTATCAATCTATGGAAAATAACAACTACAGTTGCACAGGTGCAGAAGTGTTATTTCCCACAGATTTCCAATAGATTATTTTAATAATTCGTTTCCAAACTTATGAAACAAAATAGGATGATGTTGATAACTTAAAAATTATTATACCTAGCTTCTTTTTTATGGAAATCGCATGAGCGAGCTCGTGACATACCAAATAAAAAAATGGCGTATAAAAACAAATTAAATTTAATTTAAAAATTATTTTCTTGGAATCTCTACTGTAAAAAAATCTGAAATTATTTGTGAATGTGTTCGATGACTCACAAAATCATTAAATTTTAAAGACATTCTATTGAAACTCTTTAAATGGACCTACTACCTTAAATATAATAACATTATACAAAAGCCCCAAAAAATGCTTTAACTCTTTCTTGCATTCACACTATCGTATTATACAAGCATATAAAACATTTTATTATTAGGGATGCATCCTATGTATATATATATATATATATATATATATGTGTATGTATATCGGTTTTTTCGATACCGATATATCGGCGATCAATCTTTATATCTCCTGCCCATAAAATATTTTTATGTAAAAAATCACGTCTATCCGTTGTTTTCAATCAAAAAAATTAAAAAAGTAAAAATCAATGTAAAAAATAATAATAAAAAAAACAAGTAAAAAAAATTAAACAAGTTTGTTTGTGTAATTGTCATGGACCGTCCGTATTGGAGACGCTATTTTATAACCCACAAATAACCTTCAAATTGACATTTGACAGCCCTGATAGAATAAGGTTTATTTTTTACAAAAGATGAGTAAAATGATTGTTCTTACCACTTTGAGGTCTCTTTTAAGGCTTGCAAGTCTCTCTGTAAGAAACACAAAGTTTAAAACGATTTTTAATCTGTACAAACCCAAAGCACAAGAATTGTAAACATCAAAAATGGCAGCCATTAAATGATGTGCAGTGTTGCAGTGATTTTTAGTATTTTTAGTACGAGATCGAACAGACCTTGTTGTGTGGATTGTGGTTTTGGCATAGTATTTAATTTGTAATTGTAGATAAGTGTTAAAGGAATTACATTAGTCTGATAAATTTAAAATTCTTACTAATTAAATTTAATTTGGACGTCCACCTTAAAGTAGTCTTAAAATATAATATTGACTTATAATTTATCTATATATTTATTATTGGCATAGACTAAATAATACTTCTTCACTCAACGTTATTGGTATCTCCACGGTTAACCGCGTATCGGTAACGAATCATTTTAAAATGTATAAAGATGTCGAGGTCCATCACAAAACCACTTTGCTTTCCTGTTATTTAAATTATAACAAATTTTATCGTTGCTTTATATTAAAAAAAGAAAAATGCATAACAATTTTTAATTCTATAATTGATTTAATTATTGTTTGAGTATATTTGCAGTTGTTTTATTAGTTACTTATAGTTTTTTTTTACTTTGCCTATTTAGGTTAAGGACTGAAAAATATTAAGATTGGTGGTGCCCACGTCTCGTTTTCGTGAGTATCTTCGCATGGTCTCGTCTCGTTTTCAAGGTCTATGGGGAGGCACTGCCTCACCTGACCCCTGAAAGAATACCAATTTGGTCCATATTTACTTTTTATGGTGATTCAATTCAGATTAGATAAACTTATACAAGGTTGACAGTATAAATCATTATATAAAAGGATGACTTAATAAGCCTTAACTTAGGCATATTATTATTATTATTATTAAGGGTTAATAATATTAAGAGGTATTATTATACGTCGCAACGTGCCGTCAATTTGACCGTACTGGACTGGAACAAGATTATGGATTCAGCGATAGGAGACGAAACTGGAGGCTGCGAGACGAGACTCGATCAAAGACTTTTTATTTTATCGGCGAGCCGAGACAATACTTTATGAAAGATCGTCTCGTTGGTCTTGTGGGCATCACTAATAAATATGTTTTATCCAAATTCATAACTTTTAATTTCTATATTTTTAAAATTGTGTCAGTATTTCAACGAACTAGAGCAATGTAATGCCATAATATTTGTGTGTATCTCGAAGAGCTGATTAGACTATCAAAAAGACTATCCCTGGAAAGTAGAACATGCATTACCTATTTATGATCAAAAGACGGACAGAATTTTGTTCGGTCGAACTTTACGACTCCCAATTCGCTGCGAGTTCAAGGAAAACTTTCCGATCAAAGAATATACATTCCTTGACGCCAAGTCACAATAAGAATTCGCCTAGATTTGCGTACGTCTGTTACCTGTCAAATAGCGTGTTTTTACCTACAAAAGCTTCTTACATTTTAGTTAAATTGAATTTTTACCTGAAATTTTCTAGAAATGATGATATATATTTATATATTTTATGGAAGATTCATAAGTTCGTCACCTGAGAATTATAGTGTTCTATCTGCATTTTCTTTTTTTTATTCAGGTTAGTCTTTTTTTAAGTCTTAAAGATGATATTGATCTATCTATATATAATTGGGGTAAAAATTGTAAAGTTTAAGGCTTAAACTGTACAATTTCTACCCCAATTATATATAGATAGAACAATATCCATCTTTAATACTTAAAACAAGACTAACCTGAATAAAAAAAAGAAAATGCAGAAAATGCAGATAGAACACTATAATTCTCAGGTGTGCTATGCTATGCTACTTATTAATGTATTTCTGATCCCTTGTTACCAAAAACAAGGTCAGCAATAAATAACAACATTTCCTTGTTTTTTTTTATGTCCTGTATGTCCATTCCTGTTTCGCGTCACAATTTAGGTTCATTAAAATTAAGAGTCATTTTTAACATGGACCAAACGTCCACAGTCCTCGCAGAATACAGGTATTACAGAAGCAATTAGTCGGCCTTGTTAACCGCATCCCTAACAAATTTGCTTCAATGATATAATTTGCAGCATTACAGTTTTTCATGTTAAAAAATAAAAAAGGATTATAAGTTATAAATGTCAATATATAACCACAGACCACTGTGTATATAACAGTCAATATAAAACACAAGTACAGGGTGTCCTTTCATAACAAAATATCACGCGATATTGGGAGTTATTTTAACCTTAGATAGATAGATTTAATCACAGTGCACAGCAGCGACTGAAATATGTCTTATAATAAAGCGTTTTTAAAAAAAATCGCATTTGTACAAAAAGGTATAAAAATAAAAAAAGTTTTTACATAAAAAAATGTATACCTACATGATATTAGTCTAAGCATATAAATTTATTCGAGGATTGCTTTAAAAGTAAAAAATATACAGGTATTTTAAAAAGTGGTCCTTAATTCGTTTTGATTGTTCAAAATTAGATTATGTCATAGCATTTCTGTTAAATATTGATATGTGTTTCTTTAGTAAGTAATACTCACTATTAGTGAGTCACTAAGTATGTACGTTGTGTCACTAAGTATGTACGTTGTGTTTGAAGAATGCTCAAAAAATGCAAGTGAGCATATAGGCGAGTGAAGAAATTCACTGAGGGAGTAACTGCGTTCCACCATACTTTTTTGTCGAGTGGAATCGCTTAGATATAAACAAACCGGCAAAAAAAAACCTTTGTCAAAATTAAAATCTGGCGTTTACATTCAATGTCAATCAAACTGTCGTCATGGTAGCGGGATCGGATAACACATACACTCACAGGCAAAATAATCGATTCCATTAGGTGGGGTTAAAATAGGGGAAGTAAAAAAAACACCATATTTTTGTCAATATTTGGGAATTAAAATAAATATTTTTTAATAAATTGTATATAAATTGTATAAAAATGCTTTTTAACAATAAACACAAAAAATTATGATATTTTAGTTGACAATTAGTATTATACATGGACGTATAAATATGTCTATGGTATCATATATTTTAAATTATGAATATGAATTCAGTTAACTGACTATGCACATAAAGTAAAATGATACGGAAAATCGACAAGTTTCCTTTCAAAAAAAGGAAACAAGGTAATCTTTACGAAATATATTTATTAGTACGAAATGTTTCCATTTAAAAAAATATGTATTTCCAGTATATTTTTAAATAACAAAGGTAATTTTTTTTAACAATTTTCTGGGGTTTCACACCTTTAACGCGAAAATAATAATTATTATCGCATAACCACAAATTTAGTTTATTTTATTCAATGTAGCTGATTACAGGTTTAGTTATATTTGGATTAGCCTAGCACAAAATATTAAAAAAATACTTTATATTTTTTCCTATAAAGTAATATAAGAAATTTTTAATAATATTTTTTGACTTTTTACACAACATAAGTAAATGTAAAACACTATACTAAATAAACTTTTATTAGACAAAACATTTCACTTTGTCACAGCTTAAACTACAATTTAACTTTTTAACCCATCCAAACTGATCCGTTTTTGGCTTTGCAAACAACTGTCCGTAGATCGTATCCGGTATGGCTTAATCCTTTAAAAGAACTAAAAAATAAAATAAAATGTAAACATTTTGTGTTTAAAATTGCTATATATTTGGAATTGACACCTTTACCTAAACCCGACATTAAATAAATTTTATTTGCATAAACTTAAAAACAAATGTGATGGCCTTCCATTATTCCACTGACAATTAAATAATTACGCAAATATAAAAGAATAACGTCCACTATTAAACGAAATGCTCGAAATATAGCACGAAATTACTAGTATGAGGTTAAGTTGTAGTAATATTAAATTTAACCAAACTTTTTAAAGTTATCATAGCCAAACGTAATTTTTACCTTATCATGTCTCCTGATACAACTTTACATTCGTCAAAACATAAGGTAATAATTTTAACGCAAGTAGTGTCGTAACTACAAGCACTTAAAGCTCTGCTAAACGAAATAATGAAATGTTTTATTCCCAAAAACAGTGGACACTTTTCGTACTGGTTAATATTTCCCAAAGATAATGCGTTTATAACTATTCCTCCATGGCCTTTATTCTGGACACTCATGTGCTTTATAGATTCTTTTGTTAATCGTACTAAACCAGTCTACAAAAAATATAATACAATTTATAAATACACTCACAGCCAAAATAATCGATCAACACAAATTTTCGATGAATTTCAATCGCAAATAACTTTTTTATTTGATGTCGGATTTAAACGAATATTAAAGAATATTTTAAATAAATTAATGGACATTTAAAAAATACTAAAAAATAGACGTACGTTTATAATATACAGGTTTAAACAAAAATATGTTTTTTACTATAAGTTTAACACACTCTGTAGAGTGACAAAACCGTATATTGCTCTAAATTAAGTTTTATTTATCAAGTCACATCTATTCTTAAAAGTTTGGTTTTTGGTTCACCTCGATATATTTTTTGTGGAAAATATGTATTTTTTCTGTATGAAGAACTAAGGTTGCTATGGTACATCCATAGCCTATGGAGGATGACAGTGACAGTTTTGTTGAATCATCCCATACTTGGACATGTCATATACGGCTTTCAAAATCTATCAAATTGTTTTTTGTAAATTAATGTGTCACTGTTGAGGTGTCTTCTTACTTTTAAAAAGGTATATGTCTCCGACTGATGTTGCCAGAGCTATTGGTTTAATCCAGGATGGACGCTCACAGTATTACGTAGCAAGTGTTTTAAAAGTACAAAGGGCTGTAAATCGGTTTAATCAGCATAGCGAGTACAGTAGGAGTCAATGTGGTTGGAAGAGGTCTACGAATGAACGAGATGATCGCTTTATTCGACTTAATGTTTTACGTGACTGAAGGGTAACTTCTTTGGAAGTAAAAAACGGATTGGAGAACGAACGGCAAGAGAACGATAAGAAGAAGGTTATCTGACATTGGATTACACACCACACACGGAGCCTCCGCCATGGGCGAAAAATGGTTATGCTCAAAACGTTCTCCTGTTCTCCTATAGATTCTTTGACGACCGTCTGGTGATTTTAAACAAAACATAGCTTCTTTGGTAAATAGGATATTTTTCCACTCATCAATGCCCTAATTTTGTTCCCTAGCAAATCTAAGGCGTTTAACCCAGTGGTTTCTTAGCAACTCAAGTGCGGTTGCAGGTCTTCTTGCGTGTAATTCAATGTCAGATAACCTTCTTATCGTGCTCTCGCTTACTACATTCTGTTTTTTACCTCCACAGAAGTTACTCTTCGGTCACGTAAAACATTAGGTTGAATAAAGCGATCATCTCGTTCATTCGTATACCTTCTCCTATCACATTGACTCCTTCTACTGTACTCATCATGCTGATTAAATCGATTTACAACCCTTTGTACTTCTTGTAAAACTTGCCACGTAATACTGTGACCGTCCATCCTGGATTAAAGGCTCTGGCAACATCAGTCGGGACATATCCATTTTTAAAAGTAAGAAGACACCTTAAACGTAACCCATTAATTTACAAAAAACAATTTGATAGCTTTTGAAAGCCGTATATGACATGTCTATTCTTTAGTAAATATTTAAAATGTGAGCGATTCTCCATTAATTTATCTACAATATTCTTTAATATTGGTTTAAATCAAATAAAAAAGTTATTTGCGATTAAAATTCATCGAAAATTTGTGTGGATCGATTATTTTGCCTGTGAGTGTACTTTGACAAATATAATCGTACAATATTTAACTTTATTTGTTCTTCCCATTGGGCATCCTTAATATGCTGCACATGGTTTACTACAATGTCCAAACCACCAAAGTGTTTTATGGTTTCACTAAAAACATCTGCAAAATGTTATTTTGTAATTTTTTTTATAAAAATCAATATTTTCTTACGATTTAACAAAACTTCGTTGGTCGGATCACTTTTAATAAAAGCCAATTGATTTTTTCGGTGATTCTTACAAAGTTCCTTTATTATTTCACGTCCCCTATCTTCGTCGTCTCCTGAAATCATTAGCCCCTTTTTATTTTGTCAGTTGAAGCTACTAAAAATCAGGCTTCTCTACCTTAACCCCTGACTTTAGCAGCTCTCTGGAGCACTGGAGGCCTACTCCAAATGAGCCCCCATTCACAAGGGCTACTTTGTCGTCCAGTTGTCTGGAGTAGATAGGTGGAAGGAAAATTTCGCTACAGCAACTCTGTTCCTTGCTTCTAAAATGTAATTTAAAGAAGTTAATTTATAAATCGTAGTCAAGAAATCCTACCTTTTCGCATAATTTTGTCTAGAAAACGTTGTATTTTCAAACCTTAAATGAAATTTCTATAATATTAAATTATAAATATATATATTTTACCTGGAGTGTTTGGAAATTGTATTCATTAATAAGGGCCTAAATGATTTCATATTATATTATTTAATAGATCATTTTACAAAAAATTTTGACATTTGAATGAAGGATTGGCATATTTTCATTGGATAAAATTAATATTAATATTATAGTAGCGGCCAAATCTGCATGGGTGCACGTCATCAACGGCATATGACATCAGCATTAAGGTCTATTCATACGTGTCCAGGCACAATCTAAACGCTCTTGTATTTTTGACTGTTTATAGCGCTGAGGGCTGTTAATTAAGATGGAATTATAACATAATTGTTATAATCTTCTACACTAACTAATTAGGAGTTTGTTACCGGCAAATTTTGATTAAATGTGTTTAGAGAGGACTAAAATACTAAATTACCAGAAATACTAAATTACCAGTCGTCTTTGTCGTCAGAGCAAACCAGGTTAGAGTTGTAGTCTTATTATTTCCCCAAATTTATTCTAAGGGCGCAATGTCTTCGCAAGCCTTGTAACATTATTTGCACAATCTAGTGGTAGAATATGATAAACACAATGTATAAAATTATTTATAATAATCTGCAACAAACGATGCTTACGGACGAAATGTGAAAATTACAAAAAAACGTCAAATATAAAATGACGGTGACTTATCAATAACATTGAAAGGTGCGCGTCAGCCTTAAGTTATTAGCAACTGGCACACACAAAAATTACCAAGTGAATGGTTTAAAATAGGGAAATTGTTAGGCCCAGTTGTATAAAAGTCTGTTTAACAACAGATCACGGATTAATCAATAACCTGGTTAAAGAAAATTTAGTTGTATTTACAACACTCGGTTATGCTTTAATTACAGGCCTTCCGCTGGGTCACTTTTATAGTAAAAAGTTACTTTTTGGTTGGTGGGGTTACTATTGGTTACTTTTTGTTGAAAAAAGTTACTAAAGTTACTATTCTGTCCAATATATTCTCTTATTTCAATATATCCCTGTATTAAGCATATGAATATATATTCACTCGTATGCTATAATAATATACTTATAAAATTTTGTGATAAATAAGGAATTATTAGCGATGCAACTGATATGAATCCGATTCGGCAACCCAGCTGGCGCGAACATAACATTACACGTATATGTATATCATGTATATCATGTATATCAAGATATATACCGATATATACACATTTTAAAAATATTCATATTTTATCCAGTGTATATGGAAAACTTGGGTATGATAAAAATAAATATTTTGGTGAAAAAAAAAATGTTTTTAATTCCTTTCACCGCCAGAGAGCTATCCTAAATATAAAAATTATAAAATTCAGACAAGGGCTTCTTTATGTCATAACTAACTTTTTCAAAATTGGGGAAATTGATTTTCAAAAAAAAACCGATCAATTTTAAAAATACAAATATTTTCATATTAGACATTGACTGGGGGTCCGACCATTTCGCTTGTTTTTTGTGAAAATTAAAAAAATAAAATGCAGTTGTCAGCGTTTGCATTAAGAGGACTCAAATATAAAAATGTTTGATTTAAGGAAACATAAATAGCGTGGGCGGTTAAGCTGTGCAATTGCAAATTTGCGAACAAAATTGGTTTATTGGACTAAACAAACCCTAATGTACAGGTAAAAATTAAAATTTTTTGTACTCAATTTTTAATGAGAAACCCAGTTCCATAATGGAAGTTTTGTATTGTATTATTTTCTGAAAAAAATCTGTTTTTGCGATATAGCATTTTAGCGTATAAAGACCCTAGTACCTAATCTATGGGTGGTGGAGGATAGTACAAAACAGAACCTCATAAATAAATTAAATAACCAATTGTTATGATTATCCACTTGACATCAGTAATTTATCTGTTTTTAATCTGGGTTTGTTAGTTAAAAATCAAAGACCATGCAGAGCTTCAATTTGATATATTCCAATATTTTAACCTTTTTACAGCAAATACAATTATTTACAATGAAACATCAAAATTGATTTGCTGTATTAAGAATAAATTTTCATTGGATGTATATTTGGACTTTAAAAATAAATAAACCAGGATTTAGTTGACACATGCTTTATTGTTTTTAGTTACATAATTTTAACATTTCTTTTTTTTTGTTTCTTCCTTTTTGATGTCGGTGGAACAATCTACTTTAGCTTTTTTGCTTGGATCTTCTTTGGGTTTACAGGCTGTCTCTGCTACTGCCTTTTTGTCTTCCGGCGTTGGACAGTTAGCACCGACTTTTGATGGCTTGCAGTCTTTAGCTCCTGATGATGACGGCCCGCATTTTGAGGGCGGAGCGCCTCCACTACTACCACCGCTACTTTTAGCAGGAGTACAAGACTTTGGACCTGATTTTGAGTCTTTAGCCCTCATGGTCTTACGATCTGGAATTTCCACCCTGTAGCACTCCTTGTTTTCAGATATGTATAGTTCGCCAGTTTTACCAATTTTGAGTATTTCAATTACACATTTACCACATTCATCGGGACTAAAGATTAAATATCAAACTTTTAAAAATCAATTAAAAGTATTAACTTACCATTGCGCAGGTAGTGCTCCTAATGCTTTGGCTAACTCTTTACCAGCTTCGCCAATATCCTGATAACCTCCCATATCGATCATTCTTTGATTATCTGTCATTTCTGTTGTCACAACACCAGGTAATAACCCCATTACTTTGACACCTGTCTTATTGTAAAACCATTTATCTCCTAAAAAGATCAATTTAATAATTTAAAATTATTAGGTTAAAAAGATTTTGCCGTATCGACATGCACTTTAAATTTGCATGTATCTGATATGTAACTAAACTATACTTTAGCCCAAACAATTTGTACCTATTGATCTAGTAAAACCAACACTAAAATGTTTGCTTCCTGTATACACCGGACTCCCATGGCATGGTTGAAGGCCCAATATAGATGCCACGTTAATAATAACACCACCATTGCCACAGCAGTTGTGGTTTCCCATATATTCGAATCCAAGAAGTGTTCCCAAAACAGTTCCATACTAAAAAATATTACTGTTATATAAAAGGTGTTAGATTAAAATTCTTTGATCTAAGGCCGCGAGCCTAATTTCATCTTATTTTCTTAAAATAATAAAATATATTTATATTTGGTATTCTAACGCCTTCTTTATACACAAAAATAAAATATATTTTATTATTTCCAATAATACAAAATTAGCGTTAACTAAAAGATAACATACCTACAAAATACACCCCCTTTTATTAAAAGATAACCTTTATTATTTGTATTAAAATGTTTACTTGGAACTATCTATAAGCGTTTTTGGAAACCTACTAGGGTAAGTGATCCGTCACCCGGATAAGTAAACCGCTGACCCTGCTTTCAAGCAGACTTATCAATTCACATACAGGTGAACTGCATGCGCATAGCGTTTCTTTACATATTCTGATGAAAACTAACCAAAACAAACCCTTTGCCTATTTTGCTGAAATTTTGAGCCTATTTTGTAAAATTCTGATGAAAACTAACCAAAACAAACCCTTTGTCTGTTTTGCTGAAATGTTGAGCCTATTTTGTGATATAGGTACTTATTGTACATAGGTATTTAATATTATAAGTAAAAAAATGGGTAATTTTTACATATTATAATTATAATACCTCAAGGTACCAGGTATTTTTCTATTAAATATGAGAAAAACTATAGTTATAGATATATGGAGAAAAATAATCTTACCTGCAAAACATTATAATATAATATAATCTAATATTATTATATCTATTCTTGTTTTTAAGTGTGAAATTTTTATTCATTTCAAACAATATTGATTTTAAAGTATTTAAATATAAATATTTTATTTAGGCGCTAAAGTGATCGAGTACCCAGAGTAGGTTTCCGAAAACGCCTTATGCTCCAAACTTTGACATTTGATGCGGAACGCAGTCCTTTTAAAACTTGTCATTTTAGAATATCTACCCAAAGTATACTGTAGACCACATTAATTTGTATCCAGGACATTTAACGGTCAATTCCTGTGTTAAATTGTCCGCTAAATCTGAAAATACCGTCAAAAATATAAAAATAAAGCAGTTTTTGAGATAAAGTCAATTTCATATTATATGGAAAATTGACTTTATCTCAAAAACTATTATACTTTTATAACTTTTGACATTATTTTCGGATTCAGCGGACAATTTTATATAGAAATGAACTTCTAAATGTCCGAGATATAAATGGCTGTTGACTAGAATTATTAATGGTTGCTTTTTCGATATGACAATTAGTCATTTTTGAATAATTAATTTTAAGAGAGCATCAAAGGTATATATTAAAACAAAAAATATCATCTAATTTTGCGTTTGATTTTAAAATTTTGACCAAAATAATAAAGTATTTTGGAACCGTGGGTTAATGTGATCTTATATTCTTTTTTATTATAATAATAATAATAATAATAATAATAATAATAATTTATTTGCCCAACAGAACAAAACATTCCAATAATAGGACAAAAATATACAATTATATGCAAATAGAGAACCTTAGGTTTCAAATATATCTGTAGCAATAGCTAATAACGAATTTAAGCTATTAAAAATCAAATCACATGAATGGCTTATTAAATTGTAATTGTTAGTTATAACATGAACTGGTGAGTAAGCTAACATTGCAGTACGAGCATTATTGCAATAAAACATATTACTACTACGAGAATTAAGTCTAGGAACATGTAGATTAAACATAAATAAGATATTAGAACAGTCTATCTCGTTGTGAAAAACTTTGTACAAAAATTTTAAACCAGAACATACTCTTCGAAAATGCAGCGAATCAACATTAAATCTTTCAAGTAATAATTGATGATCAATGCCCCTGTTTGGGTACACATTATCCAGCCTGAATGCCAGAAGTTTTAAAAACTTACGTTGAACATTTTCAAGTAATATAACTGAGTTGTTATAGTGCGGAGACCAAATAATAGAGCAGTATTCAATTTTAGATCTTACTAAACAGAAGTATAAGGATTTTAAAGCGATTTCAGTTTTAAATCCTCTCGAATTTCTGCTAATAAAACCTAATAATTTACATGCTTGGGAAACTAAATTTTGTATATGACTCGAGAATGTTAATTTATTATCAAATAATACGCCAAGATCATTAACACTTTCACAAAAAGAAAGAGCATTATTGTTTAAAGAGTATTGGTAAGTTATCAAATCATTCTTAAGGGAAAAAGTACAAGTTTTGCATTTTGAAATATTAAAAACTAGCTTGTTCAATTTGCACCATTGATGTACCACATTCAGATGATTCTGCAGTAAAATGCAATCTTCAACCGTTGTAATTCTAGCAAACAACTTTAAATCATCGGCAAATAGGAGATGTTTACAGTTTAACAAAGACGACAAATCATTAATAAATATATTAAATAGCAAAGGACCCAAATTTGATCCCTGAGGGACTCCAGACGTAGGAACAAAGCAACTAGACCTAAAACCGTTAAAAAATACGTAAAGTTGGCGGTTACTAATGTAAGAGCGAATAAGATTACATAACGGTTTACTTAGACCAATAGAATCAAGTTTACAAAGTAAGATGGTATGATCAACTTTATCAAACGACTTAGAGAAGTCAGTATAAATTACATCCACTTGGCCCTTTTGATCCAAAACATTGGAAGTATATTGAGTAAAATCAAGCAAGTTAGTAACTGTCGACCGTTTATGAATAAAACCATGCTGATAGGGTGAGATGCTCTGGGAAATACCATTGTAGATGCAAAAATATAATGACTTCTCAAAAAGCTTCGACAAGTTGGACAAAATCGCAATGGGTCTATAATTACCAATGTCATGATAATTGCCCGCTTTAAAGATAGGAGTGACACGAGTAACTTTCCATAATGAAGGAAATATGGAAGTTTTTAATATTATATTAAAAATAGTAAGAAGAGGTGAAACTAACAGACTATGGCAATCTTTAATGAAGAAACTGGGAATTTGATCATGACCACGGGATGAGTTATTTTTAAGAGATGAAATCGCTTTTTTATATCATTTTCTTGAAAACAATTTAGGTGAATATGGCTTGAACTATTATTACTAGTATTTATAGTTACAATATTGTTGTCAGAAATCTCATAAACACTTTTAAAGAAGTTGGCAAAACCATCAACTATTTCTTCAGAAGACTCATATTTATCATTTTCATAAAACATATGAGATGGAATTCGCGAGCCCCCTTTCTTTGATTGTATAAAGTGCCAAAAACTCTTAGGATCTGATTTAAAGCCAGATTCAACTTTAGCAAGATATGTATTATAGGCTACTCTTACTTGTTTTTTTTATATATTTTCTTAATCTTTTATAATCATCCAATGCAGACATGTTTTTAGTACGTTTAAATTTACTATGATAGTGTTTTTTTAATTTAATGTTATTGATTAATTCAACTGTATACCATGATGGGTATATCCGTTTAAAACTATTATACAAAGGAACAAATTGATCAAATATTGAGTAAATAATTTTGTAAAATTCATCAACAGCATAATTAGGGTCAGTAAGGTCTCCAAGAAAATCCCAATTAACTTTACGAAGTGCTTCGTACAGTCCTAGAAAATTAGCTTTTTTGAAGTTATATGATTTATCTAAGCAATTATTTGGAAATCTTTGAGACCTTTCAGAGCCCAGTTCAATATTAATTAGTAAAGTGGGATGATACTCATCTTCAGGTACAATAGGCAAAAACTCCCTAGTTACATCACATGATAAGTTGGAAATGCACAAATCAAGCAGTTTATTATTACTGTTTAGTATGTTGTTATACTGAGCGAATAAATTTATTTGCATAAAATTTGTAATCATGCGAGGTTTAAAGTCATTTAGATTACGACAAACAAAATTAGAAGCATTTAAATCCCCCAGTATAACCACATTTACAACATCAACAACAGTAGTCTCAAATAATTCAAAAAATGACTCAAATTCAGCAAAGCTTACTTGCGGGGGAATGTATATATTGTACAAATGCAAACTTACTAACCTAGATTTAATCTTACAACCCAAAATATCTATGATTGGGACTAGATTATTTAAATTATCACAGTTTAAATTAGTAACATTGTATTTATCTTTAAATGCTAACAATACTCCTCCACCTTTAGATTTTTGAGTCCGGATCAGATCTCTATCACTTCTATAAACCAAATAACTATTAGGAAATAATTCACTGCTCAACACATCACTAGTTAGCCAAGTTTCTACAAATGCAATACAGTCGTAATCCAAATCAGAAACAGCAGAAAACACCAAATCAGTTTTTGAGTTGAGACCTCTCACATTTTGAAAACATATAGTAAAAGCGGATGTTCTGTTGGGCGTTGCTAGTTTAAATTCACAATTTGTGGAGTTTCATGAATATATTTTATCTTTATATTAGACTCGCCCTTATCAGTCCTCAATTTTAATTCGTCTTTAACTTTTTTGTATTGATCCTGTTGTCTGGGAGTTTTATCAAAGGAAATGGACAGGTTTTTAAAGCGATCACTCTCCTTTAACTTATTAGCATTACGAATTAATAAATGTGGCGTATCATTGGAAGTAAAACAAATTTTAATTGGTCTAGGGGAGGTTTTATTGGGATCCAACTTTCCAAGTCTAAACTTTTGACGAATTCCAATATCATTGTTCGGTATTAAATGATTAACAATATTATTTACACTGTGGTTATCTTCTTCATGACGTTCATTAGCAGATTTATTGACATCTTCATTTAGGCCGAAAATAATAATATTACCTTTTCGAGAATTCCGATTTTCAATTTCGCTTATTACTTCATCAATAGTAAAAGTAGAAGTTTGCGAAGTAGCTGGTAATAAATTGTTTTTAAGGGTTTCAATTTCTTTTTGTAAAGAAATTATAAGCGATTTTAATTCCATAATATTAGCGTTACTCTCAGTTGAACACGATGTACAGGTCCAGTTAAGATTTTTCTTATTTTTTAATAAGTTAATTTCCGCTACAGTAAGACCAACGCAT